GTAGGTCTGAATGTGTGGAGAGAGCTCTGGATTAGAGATGTAGATTTGGAAATTATTAGCATAGAAATAGTAGTTATGGGCACCTGGGTGGCTCAGTCTGCTAAGTGTCAGACTTCAGCTCAGGTCATGATCTTACGGCTTGTGAGTTGAAGCCCCACATCGGGCTCTGTGCTGACAGCTGGAAGCCTGGAGCCTGCTTCAGATTCTGTGTCTCCCTTTCTTTCTGCCCCACTCGCACTCTATCTATCTCCCAAAACTAAAATAAACATTAAAAATTTAAAAAAAAGAAAAGAAAAGAAATGGTAGTTAAAACTTGTAGACCTGACCATCTTAGACGCAGAGTTTGGGGTCCAATATGTGCAACATGTGAGAGGCGTAAAGAGGAAAAGGTATCTATTATGACCTCCATGCAGCTGAATATCTTCCCACTAAACAGTCAGTAAGTGAAATTGCTACTGTTGTGATTTATTCTTTCAGATTAAGGTAGTGTCTCTAAACAATTACCTCTTAAAAATACCATTGGGATGAATTAACAGGCAAGAGGATAGTGAAATGAAGAGAAAAACTGAGCAAGGTACCTGGAGATCAGTTTCTAATTTTGACTTTGCCATTGACCACCTGTGTAATGTTTAGCAAGTCACTTTGCCTTTGGTTCCTCATGTGGAAAATGAGGAATTAGGACAAGGTGACCTTCAGCGTTTGGTGGGCTATGATTCAACCAATAATAGTGTCTTATTATAGTTTAGTTGAGTGACTTTCAAACTCATTTAGCAGCAGTTAGCCTTCTTTAAACAAACTTTCATGCAGAAACACAATGTATTAGGGTGTTTTGGCTGTAGATGTCTAACTCAAGAAGAGAATTTACTAGTTAATTTAACCATACTATGTGAAAAGGTGGAGCTGTACCTCATGAGGTGACTGGAAACCCAGACTGGGGCATCACCAGGACTTGCTCACTTGAAATACTTTTTTTGTAAATTTTTTTAAATTTTTGAAACAGAAAGAGACAGAGGATGAGCGGCGGAGGGGCAGAGACAGAGGGAGACACAGAATCTGAAACAGGCTCCAGGCTCTGACCAGCCCGCACAGAACCCAATGCAGGGCTCAAACCCACGAACCGCAAGATCATGACCTGAGCCGAAACTGGAGGCTCAACCGACTGAGCCACCCAGGCGCCCCTTTATATAGTTTTTTTTTTTTTTTTTTTTAACGCATGAAATACTTTTAACTCTTTGTAATGGCTTCATGCTACATAAAGTATGTGGTCACTATCAAGACTTGCCATTATCAAGACTTCCTTCTTTTCTCAGGCTATCACTGTGGTGGAATAACACTTCTTCCCTTAGCTCCACCTGAACACATCCTGGGGAAGAGCTCTGTTTCCTTTGGCTTGAGTCATATGCCCACCCTCTAGCCAAGACGTTGGGGGACTGAGCTGCAGCTGCCACTAGAGTCACCTGTTTATAGTACAGGCAGGCACAGTTTCCTCAAAAGAAAGGAGCACTCTTTGTAAGAAAAGGAAAGTTACCAGGGAGACCATCAGAAGGTCACTATGTAAAACACTACAAGCTTTCTAGTTGAAGTCCCACCTACCTGGTCCCCTGTGCATACCCTAGGTGGTTTCTGAAGTATGCCTTTGAAGACCGAGTGAGGATCTTTGGAATATAGCACTGAATAATTGATTTTATTAATTGGATAGCATGCCAGGTGCCTGTGAATCCTTAACAAACTGAAGCAGTGGATATTTATTGATAGTGGTAGTGCTAAACTAAAAAAATTCTGGCATAAGAGAAATAGAAAGAGTGGTGCTGATGTTGATGGGGCGGAGGTGGAGATTCTGAATGTTCAGAGATCAAGGGACTTGAGATGGGAAATAGAGAGGAGGCAGGAGGGCACCACGATGAACTTTGCCTACCTTGCCATTTTATCTAGGGCTAACATATCATATGGCACACTATATAATAGTGGGAAATGCTCATCTTTGGCTAAAGTGGGGGGATGGTCCTTGGTGTCATCCATAGACATTTTAGAAAAAGGAACAAAGGGGAGGTTGATGGAAAACGAGAGTTGACGGACCCGGAGAGTGTCAGAGGCAATGAGTAAAGCCACCTTTCTTGGATGAATATACCCATGGTACATGGTACCTAAAAAATACTAGAAATAAAGTCATGAGGATAGAGGGAGACAAAAGAGGAATAAAGTGAGTAAAAGATGAGAAGGTGGAGAAGAGTATTGTTCAGTAAAAGGTAGACTATGTCACTGGAATATAGTTCGGATACCCTGTCAGGAGGTGTGGGAAGTAAAAATTCAAGATCTTCTTGATTAATACTTGTTTAAAAGTTGGACTAATGAGTATGACATAAGTTACATTTAATCATTTTACTAATTACATCTTATTCAATAATTTAAATGTGATATTTTTCTTTTCTTTTTTTTTTTTTTACAAATAGTTTATTGTCAAGTTAGTTTCCATATAACACCCAGTGCTCATCCCAAGTGCCCTCCTGATACTTTTCTTGAAAAATTATGTAGCTATTAATATAAGTATACTGAAATCTGTAAAATCAAATTTAGTTGATTCTTTATCAAATAGTGATAATGTTCTTGAAGAAAAAACTTTCAATCTTTACCTTTCGAGCAAGCTGTTCAACAGAATTTCAGAAAACAGATAAAAGAACATGGTTCTCAAGGATTTTATAGGTCCAGCTAGATATACTACTGACAGAAAAAACAGAGATCAGATATACTCAGATCAAATATTAATTGCTAATTTGGAAAAGACACAGGTGGTCCCTAGAACATCAGGTGCTTTTTTTTTTAATTGAGAAGGAATGAACAATCTTATAGCAATGCAAATAAACTTAAGGGTTGTTTCAGAACAAATTGTACCTCTACAGTGCTGCTAGTTACCAACTTGGTCAGAAAGGCCTTACTTAAGCCAGAAGCTTTCAGTTGGATAAATCACTTTTCTTTAAAGACTTTCTTATTGTTATTTTTAATCTTAATAAAAAATTGTAATATCTTACAAACGTGAAAAATTCCCACGAAATGAGACATCAAAAACAAGTTACTATTCTGTTGCCAACTTTGATCTACTATAAAACTGCTTTTTAAAAATGATGTAAGTGCTAATCTTTTGTTACTGTTGGAAGGTCTTTCGAATTGGAATCTTAGTATTTTAGTATCAATGAAGATTTAATTTCTCAGCATCTATACAGTGCCAACTATTTGAAAATTATTTCTCTAATCTCAATCTTATAGCAAATGAGAAACACAATCTGTTTTTTGGATGATACAGTTATACTTATTAATATGTAAAAGTTTTGCTTTCCTTTTGTTTTCAGTGAGTTAATACATTTGCTAAGGGTAGAGATTATTTAAACTTAATCTGCATTCAGTTGACTTTTTGAAATTAAAAAACCCAACAACCCATTATTCTTAATTCTGTATGTCACAATTATAATTATTCAATGGTTTGTGATCACTTACTGTGTAAAATTTAGAGACCAACAATGAATATTCCCTGTATAAATATGAGCTTCAGGACCAGCAAACACCACCATTTATTATTGCTTCATTAATGTCCACGAAGGTTATCCCCTCTTCAGTCACTACTGCTAGTCAGCCTGTGAGAGTGATAGTGAGAGTGGCTCAAGTAAAAATACCAGTGCCATTGGCCTTATCCTCCTGGGTATTATGACTATGTGTTACCTTTCATAATTTCATTTCTGGTTGTTCTGTGAGAATTTCCTGTTTAGAGATAGTTTCCCTTACAACGATTGTGAGCTACTTAATAGGGCCTACATATGCTTATCTTTGTGTTTCTGAGGCTAAATATGTATGTCTGGAACATAATATCCCCTCCATAGATCTTTGTTTATTATATATAAATGAATAGCTAGGAGTTTATATTTCTATATGTATTTGAAAAAGCTTAAATCTTTGAGAATATGCCATCATTACATTTATATTTTTCAAGTGTTTATTTTACTCGTTTCTTCAACAGTTGGTAGTATTTCTCCTTGGGGAAGAGTGTGTGCCAAGGAGAAATGCTATGGCAAAATGCCATTCAGGCAGGTTTACTATTCTAGGCTCCTGAATTGATTTGTTTCTTTGTTGCTTACAAAGTCAGAGATAACTATTCATATATATCAGCCTAGACTGAAGATGGTTGGCAACGAGTGAGGTTTCTTCCAGGATTAAGGCCATTTTGCCATCTATTAAGAAGATGGAATAGGGGTGCTAGAGAGGGAAACAGAAACTTAACACAGGTGGAAAACAAAGTAGCCCACGGTCTTCTCTGTCTTAAGGGGCTTCTTCACTCACTTTCTGGTGACAAAAAAGAAAGTGGTGCAATCGTTCCTTTGCAACGGTGGACTCTTGATGTCTGATCACTTCCGGCTAAATGATGATTTGTATTCCCCCCCCCCCCCCCCCCCCGGAGATGGAGGCCTTTGGCATTCAATAAGGCCTAATTAATTGCAACCAACACAACATGCTTAGTATGCTAAACAATAAATGGTTCTGTTGGAAACAACACGCATTTTGGGGGGAAAATACTCTCCACTGCTAATGTACCCTAATGCTGTTTAAGTATACAAGTCGGGAGCACGCACTGAAAGATTGTGCAAAACTGCAATAGCACTGTTCTGCCTCTAGAGTTGGTATAATTTTCGGACTATCGGTGGTAAAAGCAGAAGCTGACCCACAAAAACATAATAAACCACAGAAACTTAAAATGTCAAGGCCATATTCACCAACTAAACATTAACCTTTCTAGTTTACAGTTTGATGTTTTCATTCCGTAGGGGGCATGGCCACACAAACGTAATTCTATCGCGAGAAGGGAGAATGAGAAAATAAATACGATGGGGATGATCGCTGAGCGTCACAGGTTCTTTTATTTACTTTTTGCGATACAACTTAAGAGATGTTTTACGTTCAAACAAACAAACAAACCCATCGAGGATGTCAGGAAAGCTTTCCTTCCGTCCCTTCACCTCACCTGGAGTCTCATTAGCTCCCCAGACCAGCGCACGGCTTCGCGGTCAGACAGCCTCTGGAGAGCAAGCAGTAAACAGCGCCGAGTCCAGGAGCGAACACAGGGTGAGGAGGGCTCGCCAATCTCTTCCCCACCATGGTCTGTGGACGTGGATTTTTGACACCCCACCAGTCTTCCCAGCTCTGCTCGTCACTCAAGCCAAGAAAATTGAGTAAAAAAAGCAATAAGGGTAAAGGAGAAAACGGGTTAAGAGTCCTGGCAACCGCGCGCGCACGCGCGCCAAGAGGAAACGCGGTGACCAGGGGGCGGGGCCGAGGCCTGGGGCTGGAGCTCCGCCTCCTTCCCCCTCACCCCACCCCCCCGAGCAGGGGAGTGACTGACTCTCGCCAGCCCCTCCACGTCAATCAACCCTCCTCCTTCTCGCACTCTCTGCACCTTGTTATTAATCTCAATACCGATATCGCGCGGACGCCTCTCCCCCGGTCCTCGGGGGTGTGAACGTGTGTGAGCGAGAGCGAAGGCACCGAAAGCTAGCGTCTCTGTGCAGCAGCCTCGGGCCCGGCAGCAGCAGGCGCAGCAGCAACCCCCGCAGCGGCGACAGCCCCAGCGCCAGGAGGCCAAGGCCAAGGCCAGGCTCTGCGCGGCTCTCGGAGTAATTGCCGCGGCTTCAGAGGCTGCGGGGGCGCAGCTTCCTCCGGCGGGGGGCCTTCGCGTCAGCGGCCGCGGCCACGGGGCCTCTCCTGAGTGCCCAGGGTCACCGTCCCCGAAACCCGGCGGCGCGGCCCTTCGTCCCCTCCCCGCCCCCCGTCCGTCTCCTCGCTCCGGTCAGCAGTCCTCTTCGCCGCCGCCTCTGCTGTTCCTCCGGCGGCCCGGCCCGGCCCGCCCGCCCCGCGTCCCCTCCGGCCGGTGCCTCTCCCCCCGGCGGGCTGCCTGCATGTCTTTGCTGCCCTCAGCCCCGCCGCCACCGCCGCCGCCGCCTCCCCCGCCGCCGCAGCACCAGCACCAGCAGCAGCCGCCCCGCCGCCGCCGCCGCCGTCGCCGCCCGGACCCCGGCGCGCTGAATGCAGGTGAGGAGGGGGCAAAGGCCCTCCCCGACCCCGGGCCCCGGCGCCTTGCGCGCCCACCCGCCCGCGAGCCAGGTCCGGGCCCTGCCTGTCGCGGCTGCTTCCCTTCGGGGCGGGCGGGAGTGAGGCCCGCCCGTGGGTGTTTGTGTTTGCGTCTGCGGCCGCGGCTTCGGAGGGGAAGCATCTGTGGGGGCCTGGTGCGCGCGCGTGTTTGTGTGTGTGTGTTTCCCCTGCCGCGGGGAAATGGCTGCTGTTGCTCCTTCTGGGCCAGAGGAAGAGAATGAGGTAGAGTGTTTTTGTGCCTCCGAGTAGATTCGAGAGTGTTGGGAAGAGGAGCGCGTCCTCGGGGAAATGAGGTGGGAGAGGGACAAATGTGCGTGTGGGTGTGCGAGTTGGGACCCTGGCCGGCGGGGAGGCGGCCTGAGGACCCAGAGCGAGTGGGTGTGTGTCGGGTGTGGGGCAGACCCGTGCCCCTGTCGGAGGCGGCGAAGGTTCCGGGGTGTGTTGTGGGGGGGGTCCGCGCCCAGGGCCCGGGACTCTGGGGGTGGATTTCGTGTGCCTGGGACCCCCGAGTGGCGTGCCTCCTCCTGCCCCCCTCTCCCTTTGGTGGCCGAGGCTCCGTTGCCTCGCAGGTGAGCGCCGCTCGGCTTCGACCCGGCCGGGGAGGGTGAGTGTGTGTGCGGTACACGCACGGCAGCCAGGCCGGGAGAGCTGCGAGTCGGGGCCGCGCGGCTGTTCCCGGGGCCCGGCAGGAAGCGCGCCGGCCTGCAGCGCGGCCTAACCGCCTCGGCGCCCGCCCGCCAGCGCGCCAGCCTCCTCGGACGCCTCCCGGGACGCCGGGGCCGCGGGGGCCCAGGGCGCTGCCTCGGGCCTGGGCAGGTGAGGGTCGGAGGCGGGACGCGCGGATTGCCGTCGCCTCGGCCGCCTCCGCGTCTGCTGAGGAGAGGCGAAGGCATATTTTGGCGTTGGAACTGCAAGCTCTTCCCCTAGCCGACGGTGGGACCCGAGGGAAAGTGAATCAAAGCAGTAAATCTCGGGAATACGCGGTGTCGAGATCCCTTCTCTTCATCTTTCCCCGAAGGCTGGGTGGAGGGACTAAGTACACGTTTTCAGTTTTCGTTGCCTGTTTTGTCGTGGATAAGGTGTGTGCATTTTTTTTAGGATAAACATTTTTTTTGAGAGGCGGGGGAAGAAATGGAAGCTGGCTTCCCAGTCCTGTGGTGTTGATGAGATTGGATCGATTTTGTACATTTGAAATTGTTTTATCCTGCCTCCTAGGGGGAAAGGCGTGTACACGCGGATCTGAGGAGGTCTGTGAGCAAGAGGAAGTTACTGTAGCTGTCATCGTCCTTAACTCGGCCTATTTAGCTTATAGGCTGTTTTGGTGGGTTTTCAGGGAGTTTAGCTGAGCCGTTTGCATACAGTGGAAGCACAGTACTACATACATTTTAGGAGGATATACTACCTTATTGCCTCTACTTATCTTAATTGCCAATCAAGATAGTCGTGTACAAACAAGTTTTCACTCCCAGTCTCCAAAACCTAGATTTGTCTATCCAGTGGGTGCTTCTGAAAAGCCGTTTTGCAAAATGGAACTGTAAAGATCAGTCTGCCAAGAGATGTACATACAGTTCATTATAGACCCAGATATAAATTAGTACTTGGATAAATTACTTACTGATCTATTTTACTCCACCCTCTTTGCGTTTGCATCTAGTTAGCTCATCTAGCTAAAGTCCTTACAGATAAAGTCATGATATAGATTCGATCTTGGCAGACCATGCTGTGTATAATGGCCGGATAGCTCCATTTCTAAACCTGGTTTCACAAAGAAATGTTCCAGGCTGTTCACTGGGAACAAGAGTGGAGGGAAGAATGGGAGTGGAGAGCTGTTTTCTATGACCGTTGCCGGAAAAATAACATATGTAGTTTAGTGGAAAAAAGGACTTGTTTTACAGAACTCAGAACTCTGGCTGTGCCGTATTTCTTAGCGGTTTTTAGTTTAGCAAGTTACCTAATGTCTATAAGCCTCTGTTTTCTCATTTATTTGTAACAAGAGGATAATACATTTATAGTGAGGTTGTCCTGGGGATAGAATGAGAAAACTTGTTTGGCATATAGTAGATGCTTAGTTAAATATTATTCTTCCTGTAGCCCTCATTGTAGGCATCGAAAACGATGTGTAAGTACAAATACCCATTGGATAACTGAGAGCAGTATTATGTAACTATAAGTTAAAAATCACAGCAGAATACTTGAGTCCTTTGATATACATAAGGTATATATAAACAAATTTTAATGTTGTGTTTTGTCTTTTTCCTAGAAATAAGACTGTCATTAAAGTAGCCTAGTGTATTAGTTTATAGAGGCTATCCGGTCATACTTTTTTTTCCTTGTGTTTTTGAATAGGCCAGCTCAGTTTCATTACTTTTTATGAATTCTTGTTATGCAGCCTGGAAATAGTGTTGTATACAGTATATATATGCTCCTATACAGTCAAGCATTAAAATAGATCAAGGGACTAGTGTTTACCTTTCTACAAAGTGTAAGTGCCAAAAAATAGCTGTGTAATTCTTTTAGTTAATGTTGACTGATTAGGTAAACAAAAGCCTCTTGGAATATTTTCCTGAATAGCTTAAGGAAAAATCCTCAATCAACTTTCAATAGTTTTTCCATTTTTATTATTTTGTTTGGAGGAGTAAATGTGTTTTTCATTTAATTTTAATTGTACTGTGGTAGGAAAAAGTAATGGTATGCAGTTTAAGGTAAAGGCAATGGAGAAGTTAGGATTTTCTCTCTCTCTCTCTCTCTCTCTCTCTCTCTCTCTCTCTCTGTCTCTCTGGTGAGGGCAGAGTGAAGAGGATGTTGAGGAGTTTCACTGATTTAAGTTTGGAATATCTATTTAGTAATGCCAGGTTTCCCAGTTAGGCCTTATTTATTTTTATATCAGCAATGGTAAGCTTAAAAAAAAACAACAACGTAGTATAGTTCTAAAATTTTGACACTTTTGTGAAGAATACAATGCAGAATGTCATGGTTTTTTAAAAGTGTGTGTCTCAGGGGTATGTGTGCATTTACAATGAACAGAATTAATCGGCCATACGGTTTTATTTAAAGGAAGAATTCTTCCTTAAGGATTATGGGTGATGATAAAATGAGTAAATATACTAAAAATTTTAATACTTTAAAAACTGAGATAGAAATTAGTTTTGCCCTTAACTAGGGCAAACATAATGATATTACAAATTGGACATTATGAATTAGTGTTTTAAAACACTTCATAATTTTTTAATTTGAGAAAATTGAGGAAAACCTTTTTTGTTTTTATATTTTTAGTTTTTTAAAATTTATTTAGATTCAAGTCAGTTAACATACAGTATAGTATTAGTTTCAGGAGCAGAACCTAGTGATTCATAGCTTATGTGTAACACCCAGGACTCAATCTCAACCAGTGCGCTCCTTAATGCCCATCACCTATTTAGCCCATTTCTCCCAGCAACCTCCCCTCAAGCAACCCTCAGTTTATTTTAGAATCTCTTATGGTTTGCCTCCCTCTTTGTTTTTATCTTACTTTTCCTTCCCTTCCCCTATGTTCATCTGTTATGAGGAAGACATTTCTTTGTAATCTTGAATGTACTGAACTAAAACATTAAGACATGTGGACAGTAAAATTTATTAACAGTGGAACTGCTCATTCTATCATTGTTTAAAGTAATTATGTTACAACAAAATCAAGGTGGAAAATTGTTTTAAAATTTAATGTTACTTAAATGGGCTTTTAAACAATCTTTCCAAAACATCCCTTATAAATGTCTTTAATTAGGGAGGATTGAAATATTTAAACTTTGTGCACATATTACTTTGGATAATGTTAAGTAGGGTAATAAATACACCAGAATTTCTGTGGCTTAACACATGTAAGTTTGTATTTTGCTCACATGTAACAGTTCTGTGCAGGTGCTCCTGGTTAGCAGGCTGTTGCTTTCTTCTGTGTGGTATTTGAGGGACCCAGACTCCTTATATCAATGGCTCCACCATTCTTTAAGCCCTTGAGCCCTGCATGTTACTGGCCATTTAAGAACTCCCAAACTTAAAGTGACAAATATCTGCACACATGTGATTGGTGAGAACTTGTCACAGAGCCTTACTTGAATGCAAGAGGGATGAGAATGTAGTCCCCAGATGGTGGACAG